CGAAGATATCAAAATGAGAATTAACTTTTATATTTTAAAATGCGGAAAACAAGACTACTTCATTACATGTTGCGTTTACTACTATCTATTACTGACTAAACTAAAAATACCAAATTTTACTTATTATTATTTCCACCACTATAGGTAGACTAAACAAATCAAAAACTCAAATGCTGTTGGGCAAGACATCACAGCCCCTAGCGCGGCACTTGCCTTTGAGTTAGACACCGCTCGTACCAAACAAAGACATGTCAAAACATGCAAAAAAAACAACTAAATCCTTACAAATTCAACATCCTCCCCACAAAAAAAAAACATTAACAATAAACGTAACTAACACTAGTGATTAATTAAAATACATTAATCGTTCGAATTTCTTAACCATTCTGCCAGTCTTAGTTACATAGAGTTCTTTACATTCAACTGGATTCTGTTTATTACCTTCAATTGATTTAATACATTGGACTTTATTTTCCGATATGTCTTGTTCCTCTTGCACAGAGTTTTTCACACAATTGTTAACACTGTCATAATTTAATTCTAACGGAAAAACCTTTCGTATTGGTCGCACTAACTCGCCCGAAACAGTCGTTAATCGCACCACACGAATAATTCCATCCTTGCCTGGAATCACATCCGTAACCTTAGCCAATGGCCACTCAAGTCTCTTAGTGTTATCACTTCCTATTAACACGATATCCCCTACACTAATCTTATCAGTATTTTTTACATTAGCTTTTTGTTTTACTAACATCCCTGAATATTCACTCCTAAATCTGCGTCTTAACTCCTCTTTCAACTTTTGCCTATACGCATACCTTTTGTTTAATTTATTTGTTTCAATAATATCTAAGTCCAAAACCCCTATCTCTTTTATTTCCTGTAAGAAATCCGATGGAGCCAACGGTTTGAACTCAGTCTCAACATCTGACATAAATGTTATAGGTCTTGAATTAATTATAGCCTAACAATCGACTAAAACAGTTGATATTTCCTCATAATCCAGACTTGTTCTTCTAAGGGTCCGACGTAATAATTTTTTCAGAATTCCTATAAGGCGCTCCCAAAATCCTCCCCACCACGCCGCAGTGGGAGGATTAAATCGCCATTCTATTTTTTGTAGTGCAACGGTACTTCCTAACTTTTTGTAGTCTAATCTGGTTAATTCGTCATTAAGCCCCTTGAAATTTGTACCGTTATCGCTGTAGATTATGCTGGACCTGCCCCTTTTAGCTATAAATCGTCTAAGTGCCATGAGTACTGCCGCTATATTTAAAGAATTTACGAACTCCAAGTGCACAGCTCTGAAAACTGCACATGTGAAAATGCATATCCAAGTCTTTTTTGCGCTTTCGAGATACACTGGCCCGGCAAAATCTATAGGTACCAATCATCTCAAATATCGCCGCGTACCTAACGTGATTTAAAGGTAGCGGTGTCGGGACCGATTTTAATGGCTGGGCCTCATAGCGACGACATACTACACATTTTCTAATTACGGATCTAATTATTCGCCTACCCCTTAATATCCAGTACTTCTCTCTTAATGAATTTAATGTAATCTGTACACCAGCATGTTTTAAATTCTCATGTTTGTCTCTTACAATCAAAGTAATGATACTAATATTATTGGGTAGAATATATGGACATTTGAAATTAAACGAATCTTCTCTGAATACAATTTTTGTTTTTATGCGAACTAAACCATCTTCATCCGTAAATAACATAAAATGTTTATTGGTTCTATTCTCAAAATCTGTTAAACTTACATTTTTAATACGCTTCATGTAATTTACCTGAACTATTCCTACAATTGTTTATAAATCTTTTTATCCACGCAACTATACGTAAAACCTTAGAATAATTCGAAAACTTTTCCAAAGTTTTAGTAATTTAGGCTCAGCTGGTATTGCAACTAAACAACTACTGTTGCCATGCTTTGCACTCTTTTTCAATTCAGAGTATTTCTTCTTCATTATACAATAGATCGACATTACTATTCGGCCAATCTTCAGAATCTCTATACAACCATTCCGGCCCATCCCACCAATGCGATGATAATAAACGCTCAGTACAGTACACCCTCTCGAAGGAAGGTCGGCGGGATTCAAATTACCCGGAACATGCCGCCAAGATTTAGGATCTTTTACACGATTATGTACAAATTACTCCAGTTGTGTTCGCGATGAATCCACGCTATTACCGTCGATGAATCTGACCAGAAATGAAGATTTACAAATTTTGTATTGTTCTTGTCGTAGCGTCAGCCAATCTCGCTCCAACGTTTGCCGCCAATAATTCTAAACGTGGTATACTATTACGTACATTTTCCTTACTTTTCATAGGAGAAACTCGCGATTTAGCTTGTACGAATCTAACTTTGACTCCTTCACTATCTTTTATGCGAATAAAAATAACAGCCGCGTATGCCGATTTACTTGCATCGCAAAATATATGCAAACTAATTTCATCGTGCGAATCCGTTCCTCTGATAAGACAACGCGGTATCTCTACTTAATTTAATTCTATAATTCCCTCGTAGCATTTTATAAAGCGAGTTTTAATTTCAGTACCGACGTCGTCATCCCACGTGAGATTTCTTGCCCATACTTCTTGCAATAATATCCGCGGACCAAGTGTTACGGGACAAACAAAACCCAACGGATCAAAAATACGATGTACGCAAGACAAAATATCTCTTTTAGTTATTTTCTGTAAATCTAAATTTTCTAAATTTTCAACATTTAAAGATAATACATCTCGTTTTTTATCCCACATAATGCCTAAAACCGGAGTGATACTCTCCGTGGAAACATCACCATTATATTTAGAACCGCGAAGATCAAAACCTGCAAGCTCCATCGATTTCCTCGCCTGATACATAAATTTTATATTTCTTACATTAGTACTATTTCTTTCTTTAACATTTTCTAAACTTTGACTGTAAAATATTACATGCCTTGATATAACTATTCTTCTGTTCTTGGAATCCCAAAGGCGATAACCACAGGGCGCATATCCAACAAAAATATATTTATTGCTTCTTGAATCTAGCTTCTTTAAGTATCCCATTTTTTTGTAAATGCATCACAACCAAATATTTCATCCATTACAGTCAAAACATACTTCTTTCCGTTTCCTTGATTACGTCAAGAGAACCGCACAGATCAGAGTGAATGATCTCTGCACGAGTACGCACACTATTAAATGGTAGTCTAGTTTGCTTTGATTTTAAACAAGTTTCACACTTATTAACAGCATTATCAAAGTCACCTTGCTTTAGGTTCATTCCTTTTGACAAATTTACTAGTTTTTTAATATTTGATATACCAAGGTGTCCTAATTTTCTTGCTTTACTTCACTGTTTATATTTACTGTGTATTCCTTCCACTATTTTTTCATTTTCTTTCATTATGATAACTTTATCTTTTGTAAACAATACTTGACCATTCCTGTCTGTTATTTTATTAACCGATATAAGATTTTTATTTAAGTCTGGGACATAAAGCACGTCCTTCAGAATACATTCAGTTCCTTCAATTTCACCTGTACCCTCCGATTTCATTAGCTGATTTTTCTTGGCAACACCAATATTGGAGGATTGTGCTTGGAACTTAGACAACAAGCCCATCTTCTTAACCATGTGTGATGAGGCTCCCGAATCCACCACGAAAGTGCCAATTTTACCTCCTTCTTTCCTGTTTTCACTTAAGAAAGCAACTTTTGCATAATTGGAAGTACCACTTTGATTTTCAGTTCTTTTTGTACCTAGATTTTTATTTCTGAAGAAGCAGTTTTGCTCAAGATGGTTTGTCTTCTTACATATACTGCACATTGTTAGCCCTTTACTTTCTTATTGTTAATTTTACAATTTGCGTGCACAGTTCCTATGTAAATTTTTCCCTCATTCGAGTTATAAATTTTGCCACCAGATGGTTTATGCCCATTTGACGGATCCCAATAGCAACATAAATTTAAAGTAGATGGTTACAGTAATTGGCTGCAGTCAATGTATCATAATTAATAAGTTTTTTTTATAATCTTGAAATTGAGTCAAGGAATAAAAAGAATATTAAACATAAAGTGATTATAAAGACAAAAAATAAATAAGTGAAATTACTATAATAGGGATGATGACAGTAACCAAGAATCACTAAAATTATGATGTAAATTAATAATAAAGAACTAAAGTATTCTAAAANTTTTCTTTTATAAAAAAGGAAAATACATTGTTTCTTATCCATTTTTCACTTTAACTTATACATTACGAAAAACAATAAGTAACTAACAAATTTAAAGTGCGCGCCTTTTTTATTTAGTATTGACTACACCTGCCGGAGGGCGCGCAAATCAGCGCATTTCGAGTTGACCATCTATTACCCTTTGTAGATCTATTATCTATGGGCATGGTCGCATTATGCTCTGTAATTGGAAAACTACCACTAGTTCCGCGCGTCGATCCGATGTCCATTGCCACGAAGATCTACGAGAAGTGTTCGCCAGATCTGTGGCCACTAAACAAGGTTGAGCGCGAATTCGAACTGTCACTTGTTCACCCAGACGTCGACGATTAGCCCGGACGCGACAGTCATATCTTATCTTTTATCATCTTCAAATGTATCAAAACAACTTTCTAATTTTATTAATATCTTCTGTACTTGTTATAAATTAATGTTGTTGCCTGTAACTCGGGACTGTAGACTTTAATGAACATTTCATGGTGCATTATATTAGAACCCCATAAGAATGACTATACAGCGCTATCTAACAATCAGTAGTTTAAACCTCAGTTTAAACTTGACTTGCTGTTTAAGTAACAGCAACTATACAACAGGTTTTAGTGTTTTGCACTTTCAAACTTTTAAAATCAGGGATTAAATTTCGCGGCAGCTCGAAATGGGCTGAATGCTTCTGAGGATTCTGTGATCTTTATCGCTCATTTACCCTTAGTATATCTATTATCTATGTCGCTCATCGTGTCTCTCAGGCGTCTCTATGGTTTGTCAGTCGCCATTATCTATGGCTAAGACGAAATAACACTATCACAGTGGTACCATAGTACCTCGTAAGGTACTTCGTTTTTCGTTTGGATACGAATTTATTAATACAATTTACAACTATGTCTCTTTTAAATCTCGGTGAAGACACTTGGATTCGTGAGTATGTATCATGTGAAAAATTATACAGGGATATCATGGGACTTCTGTCTCAAAGACAGAGAGAACCAAAAACAACTACTCATTATTCCCAGCTTTCTGCATCTGTTCGTCTCTATTTAAAACAGTATAATAATGAAGTGACTCAATTGAAGGAGAAATTAGATCATATTTCGAAAACTCAGTTGATTACATATGATGAAATTGAAAGGAGAGTGAGGCAAATAGAAATTCTTAAATCAAAAGGGATTAATTTAAAAAAAGTATTTGATACACCTATTAGAACATTAGAGCACGACAGAGATCAACTTCTTGGAACAGCTGGAGGTTCTAGTTGGGACAGTGATGAACAGCTAATTGAAAAGCCTGGAGGTGTAGGCGATATTATATCACAACATAAAAGGTTACTAGAAGATCAAGAAAAAGGTTTGTGAATATTTAAATTAAAGTAAAATCATATTAAATAAAATTTGTAGGTTTAGAAAATTTATCTAAAATTATATCGCGTCAGAAAAACATAGCCCAAACAATAACTACAGAAGTAAGTCTACAAAATGAAATTATAGAAGACCTGGGGGAACATATGGATAGGACTGATGGTAGAATAAACACTGAAACTAAGCATGTCAGCATTATTGGTCATAAAGATAATACTTGCATGTATTGGGTAATAATTAGCCTCTTATTTATTTGTATAATTATTGTAGAAGCAATATGACCACTCACTAGCTGTTGCTTATCGTAAGGTGCTGTAAGACTGCAAATCAACATTTAAAAATACTTATTAAACAATTGTGTAGCCCCATCATACTTTTATGTAACATATCAACAGAGTATTACATTTATTTTAAATAGTATGTGTACATTTACTTAATTTTGAAAGTAGAATGAGAGTAGAAAAGCTTAGCAAATTGTTAAAATGATGTAAGTTTTAGGTTGATACATTTTGAATATATTCTTTAGAGGGTTCTTCAAATATTCAAAGGTACATTAGACATTTTAGAGAAACTAAGTGTGTAAGAGATTTGAAAATTTGGCAATAGGGCTTATAGAGGATGACTTTTTCAACTAAACTTCTGGTTATTTTGGACTGAATTGGAGTATTCATTACAAGCTTCATATTTTAACATTTTTGTAACGAAAAAAAGAAAATTTCAATTTTTTTAAAATGCCAAAATTAGTGAAATTATCTATTTTAGATAACAATCCATACTTATGCAACTGAAGCAAACATCCACATTGGTCAAAAGAGTTTAAGAAGAGGAGTCAAATGACAAAATAAAATATGGTAGGTGCTATTTGAAAAAACCAAGTTATTCGTATTTGAAGTTTTTAAACTTTGGATTTGTTTTCTGAACGCCCAGTACAAATAATGTAGCTCAATTGTGGTGTAGTATTAGCCTAAAATACGACTATAACTGATAAAAATTTCAAAACAAAGTAATTTTTTGTGGAAGTTATGATTTTTTATAGTTTGGGTTGGGTTGCGGTAGC